TCCCCATACTGATGCTCGGTTTGAACTGCAGGAGATTGTCTTGACCATGTCTACATGCCTAAATGCACTGAGTTGTTGCCATGTGATTGGCTGATTAGAAATTAAGTGTTAACGAGCAGTTGGACAGGTGTACCTAATAAAGTGGCCCGTGAGTGTATATTTACCTACAAAAAAAAGAAAAGATAAAATCCTTACTTAACTCCTGATAGAGAAACAGAAAAGTGATGCTTGAATCAATTTTTTTACCTCCTTCAATTAGTACTCACTGTAACATGCGAGCTATGAGGGCTGGAAACCTGTCCAGTGTGAGAACCACAGAGTCAAATAACTTTGGAGCACGGGAACTCGTCTCCGTTCATTCAAAGAACTCTCGTCTCTTCTCTCGATACAGGGGAGGAAAAAAAAAACAAAAAACCTATCAGAGTCAACATGGCTCCCACAAGTGCCGCCCTTTTTTCAAAGTCAACGCACACAATATGAAACTCTCCTGTTTATACAATTACAAAAAGTGACTTACGGTGGTTTCACAAATCTCCAACAACTATTTCAAACCTCAATCTGCAGCATGCAGGATGGGTGTTATCATGAAATCAGAGGCAATGTCACGGTTAGGCAGGAAAGAGGAACAAATACTCAGGAGACAGAATTAAGGTAAGTGAGTTTATTTACAGTGAGATCTGGATCAACTTCAGAACCTGTGAGAGGAGACAAGTGGTCAGGTTTGGCTTGATGGTGAGAGAAGGTTTTCTTTCTTTCAGGTTATATATATATATCTTACTTTTCCAGGAGGACTTGACTGTTTTTATCCAACACTTTAAAGGACAGAAGTAGAACCAGAATCCGTAACGGGAGGACCAGAGAGGTGAGGCAGAGAGGCAGGTGAGTCTTTACCCGAGCGGCAGGTGAGTTGAGCAGGGCGTGGCAGCAGGTGAGTATTTCCAAACTTTCTTCAGCAGAACTCTAATGATGACTTCCTCATAGGAGSWACAGGACAACTAATGGTAGTTGATGTTCCAGCGAAGGTCTGAATCACAATGAGCTCCTAATAAAGCTCCAGGAGTCATCAGGTGAAGTGGGTGCAGCTGCTGATAATCTGCTGCCAGGCAACAGACTGGGAGGAGGAACCACAACTGCCACAGGTGTGTCATCTGCAGGTGTTGAAGCCCTCAGTCCCTCACTGGTCCAGACTGCCGGCTCCAGACCATTCAAAGAGTTCCACCTGTTTCACCACCTATGAGACAAGACACACACACAAGTTAGGTACAGAAAACAAGGGCACACCCAAACTGCAAAATAAATAAATAAATAACACAAAGGTGCCAGTCAGTGTAACACACTAGTCTGGTCTAAAATGTAATAAAAWACATGCAGACATATTGTGACAAGTCTAGAGGAGAAAACTTTTTATGCAAGCTATATAAAAATAAATGTAAGTCTACCTTAGTGGGACTTCTGATCCTGAGAGGAGAAACCAGGGTCTCATAGGTGGGGCAGTATGAGGTGGATTAGAGGCACAGGCAGGTCTCCAGATGATCATTAGTCTTTGTGGATCTGTTCTTGGACTTGATGATTTTCATGTGAGAGAAAGCTGACTCACACAGGTAAATCCAAAAAGTGCTGTCAAGTTCAAAGCACCCCTTCTGATGGTGGGATATGTTTCCTCTGACAGCAGACTCCAGAACTCTCCATCCATGCGACTTGTTGCTCTGGATTTGATCCCAATGTCATTTTGCAGAGTCAAAACCTCATTTTCAACACCAGAGCAGTCCAGCWGAAACACGYACACAAATTTGGACATAATGTCATCCATCCTGGTGGACAACTGCACGTCTTTATAGCAGCCACAATCTCATTTTTATTTTTAAAATCACGGAAAAGCACATCTGCAGCATCAAACACTTCTTTCATAACTTTGTCATCGCTGAAAGACGTTTTTTGTGTTGAGCCAGGATGGGGGTGCATTAGCAGCCTTACCTTTGCTTCGGTGTTGGAGCGAGTGAAAATCGATGCTGTGCTGCTAAGCTTGTTTTTCAGCTCCTCTGAGCTTGTTTTAGGAGTGGAAATCCGCCTCGTAGCGTCAGTGCATTGTTATGAAAGAAATGCTGTTCCACGTTATCCTTTTTGGACAAGCCAAGGCAGCGCTCGAATTACATGAGTCCTCTTCCCATTCCAGGTGAAAATAAAAAGTTTTTATTTGCTTGTTAGCTGTCTTTCTTTCATTTTTTTCCGCCTCAAGATCATGTTCGGAGTGCTGTTTCACAGCACCCAAAACTCGCAAGGCTGGTCACGTCTACAAGACGGGGAGGACGAGAGGGAGTGCGTTCAAGAATGCAATGTTAAACACATGTAGGGGTCACCTCGAGTCAAATTATTAAGGAACTGTCTTGGACTCTCAGTCCTCTGATGGGCCTTCGAATGGACAAAACTCTGTTCCACTTAGAACTGTGTTTAGGCCACTCCAGGTAGCCTCAACCTCAAAGAGACATTCTCTTTCCTTCTAAATCAGATAAAAACAGAAGAATCTTCTCTTATTTGATTTATTGTTCTCTTAACTGAAAGTATTACGCATTTTGATAATCAGAGAATGTTTATCAAAGTTASAGGAGAAGAGAGGATAGATCTCTTTTCTCCCTCAGTATGATTTCAGCTATGTATGGTTTTCTGTGGGAAAATTCTTATTTAACTAAAATAATTTTTATGGTTTAAGTTGATGAAATTTCATTGTTTTACTTGTCTGAATCATATTTGCAAATGTTTTGAACTTGAAGTAATTCATTTTTTTAGTTATGTTTTAAATAAGTGCTCATCATATAATTAAATGGGTCATGAAATGTGTTGTTCTGAACCACACAGCAGCAGCAATAATTTTGTTTTAGTTCCAAGCTGAGCACAAGCCAGTTCTG